GAGAGAGAATAAATTACCTCTCATGCCATGCTCCCTCCAGGTGAGGACTGAGGTCATTGCAAGAGGCATAACAAATAGTCGACATAATGTACTAAACTAATAGATTCTATAAGGAAAACTAAATGGAAAATTTTTCTTGAGTACCAGGCACCTCTGGCTGAAGAGATAGTAGAGCCAGTGTTATTATAGATGTAGTTGAATCAATAATACTTTTTCATTCATTTTTCAAAACTGCCTATTTTAACCAGCAGAGAGGTAAGGAGATATTAGATATTGTCAAGGGCAATTTTTCATTCTCACATGGATTATATTCTGGGACATTGTTCTTCAAAATAGCTCCATTTCTGTTTTTTTTTATTTTTTCTCTCAGAAATGTACTCAATTTTCTTCCAGCAGCGTGAATTCATCTAGAATGCTATGACGATCAATTAAGTAAATGGGAAAATAGAATGCTTGTAATTATGATAATCAAGCTATATGAAACCCACTGTCTTAGGTCTAATACCCACACATCTTTAAGCAATATATTAATTAAGCTTTGGCTAATGGTTAAAATTAGAATCAAGCTTTTATAATTTTTAAAAATCACTGAGAGAAAAAGAAAATATTTGAGAAATAATATGCAGCTGTTGGTTTTCAAAACAATTCATCATCATGACTATGTTGTCATTTCCCTGGATCATGGGGACAATTCCAGTATGCTTTATTGATGTGACAATTGGAGGAATTTTGTAGATAGCTAAATTTTTAGAAGTTTCCCTATTCCTGTAAGTAAGAAGTTGGCAAACTTTTCCTGTAAAGGACCAGATAATAAATATTTTAAACTTTGAACAAGAGTGAAAGTTGAAGCTACATGAGTGTACTTAGATAACAAATTTCTACAGTTTCTGCACTTATGGAATTAAAAACATAATAAAACGATAAATGAGTACTTTTTTTGGCAATACACATCTACTAATGAGAAGGGTGAACTTCTTTCTACTGAGATAGTATTTTGCTTAGTTGGGGTTCAATGTTAGTGTCCCCTATCATCAAGTCATTGCAAATGTTCGTCCTAAAACCATGCTTAGCTCCTAGGCAGCAGGCTAGATGTGGTTCAGAGTGCAGTTTGCTAATCCCTGGTCTTGATCAGTGTTTTCCTCTTCAATGTGCATTAGAATCACCCACAGGGCTTGTTAAAACAGACTGCGTAGCCACCCCCCATGTTTCTGATGGGGTATTTCTAATAAATTCCCACTTGACCCTGGTGCTCCTAGCTTGAGACAATACTTGCAGAACACTGCTCTTGATGTCGGGCCTTTTAAAAAGCCACATTGAACACAAATCTATCTATTTTCATCATTTACATATTTCAGCTCACCTGTTAGATTCTGCCTTTTTGAACTCCAAGGTACAGCGGTAGTATATCCAAAGTTGAATTTCCATTAAAAAGTAAAGAAGACCTATTTAGTGAGATTGGGATTGATAATAAAAAGAACTTGTCTCTTAAATAGCTATTACTCTCTTGCTTATGGTGTCAGGCATCAGCAATCAGCATCTACTTGTTTGCCGCAAAGAATACCATTTTTCCAGCCTATCAAATTTTTTAAATAGTATGCAACATTCCAAAGGATATATGTGGGTGAAACATAAGAATGACAGTTTTGCCTTAGATTCAATGTGTACTAACTCACCAAGCACATTAACAATATAAAGCTCTCTGGGTAGAATTTGTTGGTATGTTCAACTCATAGAATTTAACACAAAAACGTTCCTGAAGCCACCAAGAGGCAACGGAGATATCAGCTTCCTAATCTGGGAGTTGCCCCTGGCCTACTAGACCAAGTCATCTCTGAGTTGACTGTTAGGTTGCCCTGGGCTGTCAGGGATGAACTCCGAATGACTTGAACTATGACCTAGATTGAGGTTGTGAACAAGGTTAATGATGCCAAGGCATCGGCGAATGGTAATGATCACCTCTCACCAAAAATATTCTTTCAGAAAAGAAGCAAAGTGGAAAATATGTTCTCCTTCTGTTTATTTATCCCAATGGTTTAAAAAATCAGCTTTATGGAACCATAATATTCCTCAGGACAGATGGGCTTACACATTAGCATCGTGCTTTCAATCCACAGTTTACATTTCAAGAGGAAGGTGAAGAAACTGAATGTAAAGACATCGTCAGCATCTATTTGTCACTTTCAGTTTTTATGACATTGATACAAAAAATAGTATTCTGATTAGCAGCTTGATTGGCAACCCATGTAACCCTAAACAGTACTACAAACCTGGAGAGTGCACTTTTACAGACAATTACATTTGGCGAAATAGTATGTACAATTTTGACAAATAAATACATAAATACAATCATTCATATATAACGATATACCTAAATGTCAATTATCATCAACAAGTGTTTCTAGTAAATTACTTCTTTCATTCACAAGTTACGTTTTTGCTTATAAAAACTATCTTCACCTTTACCGAAGAAATCACATCATCAATCCCCCCCCACTAAACCCACATATTAGGAAAGGTAGAAAATGAATCCCAGGCGTTTTATGTAAATGTTCCATTGTCTTTAGATAGAAGAGATTTCATTGAAAAACTCCTTCCTTAGCATCTCTGTAAAGAGTTTGTTGTCTCTATATCATATCACACAAAGAGGTGCTTTTTTCTTCTGAATTTAATCCAAATAAAAAATGATCTTCATTTTTATTCTAGTATTTAAAAATACAATATTATATATTGAAACTGGCATTTGAGTCAATATAAGAAGACACAAAGCCACACAATCTAGTCACCAAAGATAAAATTTTTTTCCCCAAAATAAATTTAAGAAAGAAAATGTAAGAATATAGACACTAATCATTAATACCTTTTGTTATACAATGCAAAACGAAAAAAAATGTATGGGGACAGTCAGAAGGTTTTTGTAAAAACTGTCTGAATGACTCCAAGTACAATACTGTCTGAAATATTATTTTATATCAGAGAAATGATAATAATTTTTTTAAAAAATGGCATCACAAATAACCGAAACCATAATTTGGACAGTGTCAAAATTAACAAAAGTAGAAAATTAGAGCATTTTCTGATCACTTTGACTTAAACATTTTTTGAACATTCAAAAAACAAAGGGCAAACATGCTTTACGCTATTGCAACTGGACAAATGGCCTTGCCTCACCAAGCTCCATGCAGAAGAAAATGTACCCAGCAAGCACATTCTAGCTATGCGTAACGGTGGGGAGAAGAAAAAAATGCCTTTAAAATATATACATACAGTCTTTGATGAATATTTACATGTTTGTCACATGGGCACTACCTAGCATAAAAAAGTTAGGAAATAGTTCTTTAAGACATGATTTTCTGATTTTTGCTCCTTTTAAAGATTAGGGCTCTATTTATAACACACACACACACACACACACACACACACACACACACACACACACCAATTGATAGGTGTACATATATGATGTTTATAGCACGTAATTCCTTGACACCAATGGTGACTTGAGTCAGCATAAGGTGAATGCAAGACGGTAGTATGAGACAGAGGCTTGACTCAGCCACACGACTGAAAGGTGAGCCACGTACAAAGTCATGAGACCTCTGCAGTGACTGGAACACACAGCAGTTAAAGGGTGCGGTTGGAGGGTGGCTCACCTGTGCTAATCCATCTCTCCCCAGTTCTTACAGTTCTGATGACTGTAAGATGAAGATGTAGTAAGGGAGCGGGAGGCCTGTCTCACATTGGGTTCTTCTGGGGCTGGGGATGAGAGATCCAGTGTTTTCAGTAAATAGGCCATGACTTCCATTTATTCATTTTGTCTACCTGTTTGCTACCAACTTCTAGGGGGGCTTCCAAAGGTCATATTAAAAAAAAGATATACTCTTTCAGTTGTGGGCCTTCCTTTGAATGAAAACAAAGTTTTCTAATGAGTGATAGAAGTTGTGGAATGTGTGGTTTGCTGAGGGCCTATTCTTCCCATAGAAGTGGACTAGCTCCACTGATCCTCACAGTTCTGACTGAGACTTCAGATCAAGTCTCAAGTTTCCTGAGATCTAAGTTGCTGTGATACATTTTGCAAAGCATGTGCTTCAATTGCTCTAATATACCCCTCGCCAGAGGCTCCTCCCCAAAGAAAGCCAGCTGCCTTCCCTTTCAGCATCCTGGGAGATCAGGGCAATGCACTGAAATAATAACTTATTCATTGAAACCAGAATGAATGACAGAGAAATCGAAGCTTCCACAAACAATTAACATCTCCAAGGAAAAGTTTTAGAATAATCAGGTGCAATAACAGTTCATATTTAATCTTTATTTTGGCAGATTTATATTAAAATGATGTGACTACTACTTCTGACCATCATTTTAGCATTTAGCATAATGCATGATACGTTGCATTACGTAGCACCTTTTAAACCAAGGATCTCAAAATACTTAGCAAATGAGATTTGCTCTCACAGCACCTGTGAGGTAGGTGTTTTTTCCAGCCATTTTATAAATGAGCGTATTTGAAGCACAATAAGGTAAAGATACCTGCTTACATGACCCAACTGTATTACGGCATCAGTAGAACCTGAACTCAAGCTTCCCCCTCTTCTTTCCCATGAACCCCAATTACAGAGCCTTCAGAACATTCCTATCAGCAAGGATGATAGAGGTACTTGGATGTTTCGAATATTAGAGAGTTTTATATCTCTTAGCTGTAGGGCTAACTCATTCAATAACGTTGGTATCTGCTAAAAGATTTTTCTCATGTACTTTGCAAATGTGTGGGAAGGACATCTTATACGATTGCTAAGCTTATGTGAATTATAATGCATATATAAATTTGTATTTTCTCTGTGTGATTTATTGTTCTTCTGGCCTCCCACCAACTTATTTCTACACATGTGCCTGCCTGAGACAGAAACTGTAAAATGCACTTAGCTACATGATGTGGAGGGTAGCAGAAACGATGACATCTGGCAAAATCCCCTTGGAGGCACAAGTCATGTGTGTTCGATGAGCAAGCAAAATCATCTTCCAAACATACAAAGTATTTGATTCTTAAGTTTAAACTTCCATTTATTTAACTGCAGTCTCCCTGCAAGTACTACTAGTAAGTTCATTTCTTGTTGGAACCACAGATACTGTACACATGATGTGGTAATGTATGTAAAAATTCAATGTAACAGCACACACAATACTAATCATTCGCATCCAGTGTGTCTTCCTAACTGTGCATTACTTCTGAGTTGTTTTTGAAAAAGAGTTATTTCTTTACTTCTGCAGAGATGCAATGAAGACATTTACTGTGAGTTTCAGTTTCCCAGAACCAGATTTGTATCTCAGACGCACAGTATGGAAATCCTAGCAGTTGGTAGGAAGTTGCTTTTTGAGATAAGTGCAAGGCCTTAGGACCTGAGAATAAAATCTGGCCCTTCTCACTTATGCATTATTTCTATGACCGGAGCCTAATGCTTGTAAATTGGCAATCCAAGAAAGGAACTAGGAGTGGGAAGAAAACGCTTTTTACAAAACCCCTTCACCAGTTCACTTCTCCTGGTGACACCTGTAAAATACCAACACCCAAGCCCCGTTTCTTAAAAAAGAAATGTATTTACACTGGTAAAAACCCTAACATCTGAGATGCTTCTTGCTTGACATGTCATTCCAGATTCTGTGCATCTCTTCCGGAGAGATCTGATGCACAGTGATAACTCGGCGGTACCTACACAAACTGTAGGCCATTTTCCAGTGATTGAAGCCACTGTTCTGAAAAGGATGAATGCCCAGCTTGCGAAGACACAGTCCTACATAGACGTCTTCCAGGTGAAGCAGCCTTGTGTGGAGTGAGGTCTTGTAAATGAGTTCAGCCACATCGGCTGAGAAGATATAGCCAGTCCCCGAACAGAACGGCGGGTAGTTACTGTCAGGGTACAAATCCCTGGGCATGTACCACTTACTGCGGACGTCCCGGATGGGCCCTCCATTGATGACATAGCCAGTAAAATACCTCCTTCTTGGTTTGGTGGAGGGTTTTAGTAGTTTATAAATAAGATTGTCCATGTTTACAAAAATGTCACTGTCTGTTTTCATGACATACTTGGCTTTCGAACAAAAAGTGGCCACCCATCTCATCCCCATCAATGTTTTGAGGGTAAGGTTATGGTAGGAGTCGATGAAGTCCTCCACGATGATGTCGTGGAAGATTTGGCTCTCTTGCTCCACCATCTGATTCAGAACAGGATCGGCGTTCTTGCCCAGGAGGAACAGCGTGGCGATCTTGATCCCTTTAAAGCTGTTCTCGTCCCCCCATGTCTCTCGGATGGCCTGGCGGGCATCGAATTCTTTGTGGGTGGTGCTGATGAGGATAACAAGGAAAGGAATGTTTTTCTCACATTTATTGGGCTCATTTATAAGAAATTCAAAAGAATGTGGGTTTATAGGTCGAGTTCTTATGTTGCCAAACGTGAAGTTTTTCCTGGCAACTGTTAGGTGGCTGAATGGCTTGGAGCCAGAGTAGGAAGAAGTAGGACGAGTTACGCTCAAGTACCAGAGAGCGCTGGCCCAGCACACAACTGTCAAAACATAGAGACAGGACACCTTTGAAGCCATGGTCTTGAGAGCACGTCTATTCCAAATACTGAAGAATATGCCTTCTTGGCATTAGTTTCTTTTCATCTCGAAAAGGTAGCATATTACTAGTTAATCTTAAAGTTCGATAGAGAAGTGTGAGTGTAGCATTGTCCATGGGTCTTAGTGGCAGTCTGCTATCACTGCATTCATTTTACTTTCTTCCAACCCTGATCGAAGGCTTCATGCCTCATAGATCTTCCTCTTAACTCTGCAAAATCAATAAAGTAAAGTTGTTCAGATTTATGAAGTCATTTCATATTCTCACATAAACATAGTATGGGTATAAGAATTGCCCACGATGACTAAAATTAACATAACCATTCGTTTTCTCAGTACTGAAAACTTCCTGACACAACCATCCTCCCTTTTCTTCCCTTGATAGAAGGGGTTTATGGATAATCACACCCAATAACAAATATATAGATTATGAACTCTAGATGAATATGCAGTAAATGGAACATTAGTAACTAAAACAAGTTTCCTTCTCTTCATAGGTGGCCTTCTTTGCAGTTAAACACCTTCTGACACTAAAGTCTTCTTTCATGCAGGAAAGTCTCACACAGCCTTGTATCTCTTTTCCATTTTTCCAACTCTGAGTTTTTGTTGGCTTGACTGTGGTGAAGACATCAGTTGTAAACATCTCTTTGCTTTCTCTAGCCCTGTATGTGAAAATGTGTTGATCACCACTGAAAAATTTCTGCTAAAATGGTCTCCTTTGGTTCAGATTTAGAAGCAATTCCCAAATTTTCCTCACTTTTTCTTTAGTTTGGCTCTCACAAATGTTAGTTCCTACTTCTCAGTTTTCTATGATGCCCCATATGGAGAATATTTTTACTCCTCATGCATGAAGACCTCCACACAAGTGTCTTTTCAGACAGTGGGCATTATTCATTTTGGAATTGATCTAAATGGTACCACATTTTGTGGTTTTCACAATTCACCTTGATGTTCCTGTGATGAAATTATACTGCCCCTTTTAATTTTTTTTTACTTAGTTATACTTAACCTGCAAACATATCAGGAATATAATAAGAGAGACAATTGAGCTTGGGAGTTGTGACATAGCCCTTTAATTGGTGTTCAAACAAAAAAGTTGTCTGTTGCCTAGCTGGTGTGGCTCAATGGTTGAGTATCATCCCTTGCACCAGGAGGTCATGGTTTGATTCCTGATCAGAGCACATGCCCAGGGTTTTGGGCTTGATCCCCAGTAGGAGGTGTGCAGGAGGCAGCCGGATCAAGATGTTTCTCTCTCACATCGGTGTTTCTATCTCTCTCTCTCCCTCTCCCTTCCTTTCTCTCTAAAATCAATAAAAACATATATATTTTTTAAAAGTTGTCCTTTGGAACTCAGATCTTTTCTAGAACTTCATCTGCTATCATGCCAGGTAATATGTGCCAAGTTGCAAAGTCCATTCATGTAAAAAATTGTCCCTTCCTCGCTAGAGCAAAATGTGGTAGTCCTGGAAGACATAGATAACGGATAATGGAAATCCATTTCAACAGAATCTGCTTCAAAGAAGACTGTGCACTTAAATGTATAGACTATGTTGAAAACATTTAACTGGGATTATAGACTAAAAATCAGGCTTCTAAGCACAATAGTCATAATGAAATGAAAAGACATTTTGAGCAACAGCAGAGATAATACACATCTTCTTGTCTAAGCCAAGAGCTGACTGTGAATATATGATACATATGAGGCCAGCAATGCCCAGTGTGGTTATGGTTCTAACTAAATAAATATTAGAATGTCTTCAAGCAGCATGACTCTAGGCATAATCAGCCTTCTCGCCTTTGGAATAAAGATATAACTTCCATTTGAAATCCAAAGGGATGTGAGTGAGTCTCAAGAGGGTACTAGAAACCAAACTTTCTCCACCATTATTCTAGTCTACTTAGCTGATTCTTGTTAGCTTATCTTCATCCATAGATAGCCCTTGTTGCCTTTCATACTTTCCTACAAAATTCTGAGCCACCTATTACTAAGCTGTTAAGGTACTCAAAGAGTCTCATCTGGAAATGGCTCTTCTTTACTGGAAATTAACAAGGCTATTGATGGAGGATTAATCATGTATAAGAGGTATTGGGAAAACAGAAATAGAACCCACAGGAACTCACAGTCTATATGAAAAGACTTCAAAGAAGTGGTTAAAACAGTGGAATAAAAATTTCCATAATGAGGCTACTGGGGTGCACAGGAGAGGTGGGCTGGTGGACAGGATGTGAGAGAACCAGGAACAGTCCTGCAGACTGTGCACAGTACAACTCCAGAGCCCAGCATTCTCACAGACTGCAACTGGAATCCTCACTCCTCCATCCATCCTGGAGTCAAATGATGATTAGCCCTGGGGAGGGTACCATGGAAAATTCAGAATAGTTATCTGAGCTGAATCTTCAAGGACAACTAGGAGTTATCTGGATGAGAGCTGGGCATTCTAGGTAAAGGGAACAGTAAATTCAAAGGCAGAACATGAGAGAAGTGTGTGCCAGGAGTGCAGACAGTGAAGTGAAGGAGAGGACAGGTGATGTGGATGAGGGTGGGAATAGTGAGCTTTGGGGCTCCTGAGATAAGCAGAGGTCAGATGGTGAGTGGCACTCAGAAATTGTTCTGAGCTGAGTAGTTGGTTACCCATCTTTGCAATCTAAAGGGGGGTAAGGGAGGGTTTTACTTTACCCAAATCCTATCCACTGATTTCAATAGCAATTCATTCTTCCAAATTAAGGGTTTCTTTCTCCCACAGTTCTATGCCCCAGAAGGGTAAGTGAGTTTGTTTTATCCGATACCTTTCTGTGTGACTTTCAGGGGTGGGGGGAAGGGATAGACTCCATAAACACAGGTACCAGGAGATTTAGAAAGAGCTAAAAGAGGGAGAAATAGAAGAGAAATAGGTGAGATCATGAACAAGTTTATGTATTTATAAACACTTTTCATTGAAGAATAAGCAATTTTCCCCAGACAGCTAACAAACATGATACTTCATGCCATTGCTATTGTAGGCCTCATTTTAAAATGTGGATGTACACCAGGCACTGTGTGGTATTCTGTACCACACATTTTATAGAGCTTCATTCCCTACAGTGAATTGAGAGGTATTTTCTCAATTTTCCAGATGACAGAAGTGAAACTCAGAGAGATGAAGTAGCTTGCTCAAGATCACTCAGCTAATGAGTGAGTGGTGAGTGGTCATTTCAAGCTTCCTAAGGCCTGTTAGGACCTGAGGTGAAATCTTAGATGGGGAAGCCCAGGGTGGCAGGGAGCATCTTAGGCTGCTGGTCTCCCGGGGATCCATATGTTCATTTTCTGAGATGTGTGCTCACTGCTTGGAGTTTTTTCTAGTTCATTTTGGTTTGCTACGCACACACTACAGCAATTCTGTAGGGGATTCTTCATCATGAAAAAATGATGACTTGCAAAGAGCACTTTAAATCTTAAAGATGCTGGGGGTGGCGAGAGAGCTGCAACCATGGAAGAGGTTCAGAAATACTCTGCAGTTCCCTTTCTCTGAAGTCCTGAATCACACACACGCACACACACACACTGAAAGAATCATTCTTTCCATTGACTTTATTATTCAAACATGAGAAATAAAGTAGGCACAGTATTATACTTTGGTCACTAGTTAATGCAATTATCACCTATAAAAAGAGGATGGAAATGGGACAAGGAACCAGCCTAGAAACTGAAGAGCAGCCCAGGATAACGATAAAAGGCTGCTAAAAATGTCCCTTTTGCCTACAACAGAACAGATTTTTCAGGTTCACAAACAAGTACAAATACAGGGTGTCCCCCAAAATATGTATACACATTTTTTTAAATATATATTTTATTGATTTTTTACAAAGAGGAAGGGAGAGGGATAGAGAGTTAGAAACATCGGTGAGAGAGAAACATCGATCAGCTGCCTCCTGCACACTCCCTACTGGGTATGTGCCCGCAACCAAGGTACATGCCCTTGACCGGAATTGAACCTGGGACCCTTGAGTCTGCAGGCCGACGCTCTATCCACTGAGCCAAACCAGTTAGGGCTGTATACACATTTTAACAGTTGCAAGCTCAATTTTGAAAATGAAATGTATTTTAATAAACACTGCCTTTATAGTTATTCAAAGTGTGTGTATACATTTGTGGGGACCCCCTCTATATGGCTCTTGACCAGAATCAGTAATATAAGGAAAGAGACAAGAGAGTAACATGGTGCATTTAACTCTAGAGAGTAATTGCATATCTGTTGGATGAAGTAGTTGGTAATGGGCCAGATGTCCGCGTTTTACTCTGTGAGCAATCCTAAATTGTTATGCGGCTTTCTGTGCCTCTGTAGTCTTAGGAATAAACTAAGGGCAAGAATAACATCTGCTTAATCTCCAAACGCATTATAGGCATTAATGACCATTGCCAATTGCTTGAGTTTCTGGGGGAAGGGTGCCGTATAGACAGACGGTATTATGATACAAAGAGCAGGATCTGCTCTGGCCAGGTCACTCACTTGGCTGGAGTGTTGTCCTGTACACCCAAAGGTGGTGGGTTCAATTCCTGGTCAGGGCACATACCTAGGTTGTGGGTTTAATCCTGGGTTGGGGCACATACAAGAGGCAACCAACCAATAGATGTTTCTCTTTCACATTGATGTTTTTTCTCTCTCCTTCTCTCCCTTCCTCTCTCTCTAAAAATTAATAATAATAAAAAAACAACAACACATATCCTTGAGTGAGGATTTAGAGAGAGAGCGAGAGAGAGAGAGAGCAGGATCTAATGGGGATGAGGGGATTATGTCAGGACACCAGGTCATGATTTGGGATCTAAAGCACATATATCAATAGATTCTTCTAAATATATAGGATTGGTATCAGTTCCTTGGTTTCTTTGCCTAGGTTAGTGACTACACTGTATAGATTTTCCTGCTAGAGAATTCTATTTTCTTTCTGGAGAACTCAAAGCCAAAGGTCCACTGAAAAGTTCTGGGGAAGGAGCTGAGTGTCTGTCACATAGTTCAATTCTCTGGAGGTTCTCTCAGTTTTACAAGATTTAAAATCTTGTTTAACCGACATGTTAATGTATCAGGAAAACAGCAAGTTGCACATACATTTGTCATTCCTTTTAGCAGCTCTTCCACAACCAAGGCACTGACGACACATTAGCTTGTCATCCGTTAAATACAAACTCCTCCAAACTGAAACATTCACTAGAACACTTGAGAGATTTCCCCCCGGGCTCTACTGTATCGCAGATTACCACATTAGCAGAACTCCCCAGTAACTCTCCACCTCCACCTTTCAGGAAGTTAATGGGGCAGAAATTTCAATTTAAGGAGCACATGTTTCTCCTAGAAACTGTATGGTGGATAGTCTGTTATCTTGAGTAAATTAGTCCCTGAATTTGCTCAAGTTCTTCTGTTGTATGGCCAGAGGTAGGTCCTGGAAGCAGGCTGGTAGTGTCTCTTGAGGGGCCGGTGCTTAGTCTGGGGTGCCACGTTCTTGTCTTTTCCCATGAGGGCTCAGGCAGGTACAAATCAATACTGGTTTCCTCTGCCTCAGTTACCTCTGAATTGGCTCGGCAAATGTTCCATCTTCCCTTCTCTCATGGGTAAGGACACAGGGCCCCGCCTAATAGCCTGCTTGCCCTGTCTGGTGTCTCAAAGAACACAGTATCTCCAGGTCCAGATTTCCCCTGGGTTTTCAAATCTACTTCATTTGTTCATCAAAGATGTGGGGAACACCTGTGATATGCCAGGCACCTTTCTACAATACAGATAGGGAGCTTACTTTCTAGGAGAGGAAGAAAAAAAATAAAACACTTGATAACTAAATGTAAAAATAATTTCAGGTTGCAATAAGCACTGTGATTCAGGTAAAGTGAGTATAATGGGATAGAGACTGATCAGAGGTGGGGGGGGGCTACTTATATAAATGGGTCACTCTCTGAGGAGGAGACATTTGGGCTGAGAACAGAATGCCTGGCAAACTCTGGTTCAGTCTTTGAGTCTGTAACTAAGGTTTGCTTGGCTCTTTAGAATTTATGCTGTGTTAGGAACATCTTTTTGGTTTTGACCCCTCCCTGGTCTTCTGGATCTTTTTGGATCCCTGTTTTCCAGCTGTGGCCATTCCACCCACTCCTGCAGATGCCCTCGACTTCTGGGAATGTAAGTGCTGCACTGTATTAGTTTTGGTACTTTGCTGTAACAAAGTACCACAAACTGGGTAGCTTAAACCACACAGTTGTGTCATTCTGAAGGCAAGAAGTCAAAGAGGGTTTGGCACGGTTGGTTTTTTCTGAGGGCTGGGAGGGAGGATCTGTCCCATGGTGGATTTCTGGTAATCTCTGGCACTCTGGCTCATAGATGCATCAGCCAGATCTCCAGCTTCATCTTTACTTGGTATCATCCTCCCTGTGTGCCTGCATCCAAACTTCCCCATTATATAAGGACACCTGTCATATTAGATTAGGGTCTAACCTGGTGACCTTGTTTTAACTTGATTATCTCTAGAAGGACCCTGTTTCCAAATAGGACCACATTCTGAATTACTGGCAGTTAGGATTTCAATATATCTTTTGGGGAGACACAAGTCCACCCAAAACACCTACTTTCGTGGGTGGCAACAAAATAAAATACTTTGCTCTCCAAAGACTTCACATTTTATTTTCTTGATTTGAACAGGTACAATCCTGGGTTTTGATAAACCAACTTTTAAAGGGCAAAAAATTTGCAATTAGCATTTGAAGAAGAATGAAACATGAGTGTGAAAAGGAACACCAATTCTGATTTACTGTTATATTTTTAAAAAGGTAATTCAGATTACTTTTTAAGATCATGTGGAGAAGATGGCATAGTTTTAAGCAGTCCTCTTCTCTTGCCATTTTCTCTTTGTTCTTAAAAACACGAATTAGATGAAAGAAAGATAAGCCAGGACTACGGCACATTTTCCAAAAGGATGGGTCCAACAGTCCCTGGGATACCAGCTGGTGTCTGGGGGATAACCCCGATGCTCCTGTCTCCTCTGCAGATGTGAAACACTACCAGCACTTCTATCACCCACCGCCAGTTTTGAATATTCAGGCCACATGACATTACAAAGGTGGTTTTAACATTAAAACCCACACAGTCACTTCAAGAACATGGCGCAGAAACATAAGCCAGTTGGGGAAAAAAACAATTTTAACAGTTAAAAGAGAGAAAAGAAAGGAAAACAGAAACTCAGAAAAAGGAGAGAGCTAACTACTAGTCCTTATGAAATGCTCTTGAAATGGATGAGAGTTGGCTGGATAGTACATCATCATATTAAGCAGAGTAAAAGAGATTCTTTCTGAAAAATGTTTTGATCTCAACTGACTTTTCTCAGAGCTGGTGTATGAGTGAAATAAAAAAAAAACAACACAAAAAACTTCATTCTATGGGGAAATACAGGAACTCAGATAGCAATAGAACTAATTGATAAACAAGCCCCAAAGACCAGAAATTCCACTTGACTGCATTAATTTGGCAAATGATTATCTCGATACCCAACTCCCTTCTCTCCTCTTGCTCTTGTAATTATACTCTAAACAAGCACAAGAAAGGAAGAAATAAAGTACTATTAGCCCTAGATAATGGTCCTTGAAGGAAGAATTTCATAAACCATTATGTTATATAGCTTGCTAAATTATTCTCTCTCCAAATCACAGAGGGCTGGCCTTCTCTCCAAGCCTTTCCTTACAATAAGACTCCTTGGCTGTGGAAAGCATCATAACCATAGAAGTCAACATCCCCAAACGCTCAGAGAAACAAGTGTTCTGACTCCTCTGCCTCAGAAAGACAAAGAGCTAATTTGTTCCTTTTAAAATCTAATTATGAATCCTTTCAGAGTGACCCCATAATTGAACTTGC